CTATCCACTCTATATATGCCTTTCTAAATCCATAAATGCAATAAAAACTTCCCTATCTTTATCTAAATACTGTCACATATATCTTCAAATGTAAACACTTGATCTACACAGTCCCCTACCCACCTAAAACCCCTTGCCATCCGCAATCCTACATCTGTCTACTCTAAATTCTTTCAATTATAACCCTACCGTACACTTTTCCTGGTATACTCATAACTATTCCTCTATAATTTTTACAGTCTCTTTTGTCCCCTTCCCTTTATAAAAAGGACAATAACATGCTCTCTGCCAATCCCTAGGTACCTTCCCCTCTTCCTACATTTATTAAACAAAAGTACCAACCACTCCAACACTATATCCCACCCCTGCTTTTTAACATTTCTGTCATGATCCAATCAGTTCCATGCTTTACCCCCTTTCATTTTACGTATGCTCACGTACCTCCCCCACACTTACATTCTGCTCTTCTTCACTCCTAAAAGATGGTATACCTCCTGGTACTGGTGGGATTGGTGGGGGGTTTTTTTGGAAAGGATCAGTGCATGAAATTACTGCCCTCTGTTTCTTCCTTAACATTAAAAGTTCCCTCAAAAATATTCCGCCATCTACCCAATACCTCCACTCCCCATCTACTAACTCACCACTCTTTTTTTAACTGACAAATCCCTATTTCCCCCTAAGGCTTTCTTAACTTGTTTAACTCACTCCAAAATTTTTTCTTTTCATTAAAATTTCTTGACATGCCTCTCCCACTCATATCATCTGCTCTCCTTTTGCACTCTCTTACCACTCTCTTTAACTTTCTTTTACTCTCCATATTACTCTGCGCTTTCTTATAACTCTTCTGCTTGTAAAAACCTCCTCATGAAGCTTAACTTTTTCTCTTTATCACACCCTTTACTTCATCATTCCACCAATCACTCCCTCTTTCCTCCTGCCCCCCACCCTCCTATAACACAAACTTCTGCCCCAACATTCTAATACTTCATTTTTAAAACTATTCCAACCCCCTTCAACCCCCCTCACTACTCATCATTGCACTAGCCCACCTTTCTGCCATAGTCTCTTATATCTCCACCCGAACTTCCACCTCCCTTAGTTTAACACTTTCACCTCCCTCTTACTTTGTTAGTTGCCACCTTCCTCTTTTCCCATCACCTCTTACTCTCTAACTGTTAGCTACAACTAAATAATGATCCAATATATCGAGTTGCCCCTCTATAAACATGTACACTCCGGAGCCTACCCATCAACCTTTTATCCACCAATACATAGTCTAATAAACACTACTTTCATTACGTGCTACATCATACCTTTGTTATATTATTTATCCTCTTTTTCATAAAATATGTATTACTTATTACCAATTTCTTTCTCACAATAGCTCATTAAAGGCTCCCCTTTTCATTTACCCCGGCACCCCAAATTTACCTACTACTTCCATAACAATTTTACCCACTTTACATTGAAATCCCAACACCATTACTCTCACACTTGGATTCAAAACTCCCCACGCATTTAAACTCAACATTTCCCAAAATCTCTCTCTCTCCTCTTAAATACTTCTCTCTTCTCCAGGTGCATACACGCTTATTATAACCCACTTTTCACATCCAATCTTTATTTTGACCCACATAATCCTAATTAATACATTTATAGTCCCTCTTTTCCTTGCCATAGCTTATCCGTCAACATTATTGCTACTCCTTCTTTAGCTCTAACTCTATTTGAAACCCCTGACCTAATCCATTTATTCCTTCCACTGAAACTCTCCCACCCCTTCACTTTGTTTCAATTAAAGCCAGGACAACCCAGCTTCTTCTCATTCATAACATCCCACAATCACTCTTTCCTAATCACTGCACAACATCCACGCACATTCAGACTTCCCACTTTGACAATTTTCTTCTTCTTATTCTTTTTAGTAATCTTAGAGAAAAGGGGTTACTAGCCATTGTTTCCCGGCATTTAGTTTGACTTTTACAACACGCATGCTTTACAGGAGGAAGATTCTATTCATATCTCACTTTCCCCATGGATATAAAAGGAAAATTAGATAAACCAAGAACTATAAATAAAATCAAAGAAAACTCAGATGAGTGTGATAAATAAATGTGTCATGTATGTGTAGTGTGGAACTAAGTGTAAGTAAAGTAGCAAGACATGCCTGTAATCTTGCAATATTTATGAGACAGACAAAAACATTCAGCAATCCTACCATCATGTAAAACAATCACAGGCTTCGTTTTACACCACTTGGCAGGACGGTAGTACCTCCCTGGGTGGTTGCTGTCTACCAACCTACTACCTACATTTATTAAACAAAAATGCCAACACTATCCCTCCACTGCTTTTAAACATTTCTGTCAGAATCCTTGTCAATGTTCCAGCTGCTTTAACCCCCTTTTCATTTCTACACAATGACCACGCACCTCCCCCCCACAACTCACATCCTGCTCTTCTTCACTCCTAAAAGATGTTATACCTCCCTGGCCAGTGCATGAAATTACTGCCTCCTTTTTTTCATTGACATTTAAAAGTTCCTCAGATTATTCCCGCTATCTACCCTATACCTCCAGCTCCCCATCTACTAACTCCTCTACTCTGTTTTCAACTGACAAATCCATTCGTTTCCTAGTGCAAGGTATTACTATGTAACTGGATTGTTTGAAACCGGGTATTTGGTAGGGAGGGTTTTAGAGAACAATCCCTACCTATACCGCGAGCCCGCCCTGATCCCCCCCCCCCCCCCCCCCCCCCCCCCCCCCCCAACCCCCCCCACCCTGCCCCCCCCCCCCAGCCCCCCCCCCCGGACCCCCCCCTCACCACTCCCCCCCGCCGCCCCCACCCCCCCCAAACCACCTGCCCCCCCCTGACCCACACGAATTCCGCCCCCCCCCCCCCGCCAGCCCCACCCCCCCCCCCCCCCCCCCCGTCATCTAAACCTAGCCACCCCCTTGCCCCCACTCAGCCCCACCCTCCCCCTCCCCCTCAACCGGGGGGCCCCACCGGTCCCCCTGCCCCCGCGGTCGCCCCTCCGCCGTCCCCGCACTACGACCCCCCACCGGCCCCACTTGGTAAGCCCAGCCCCGCCACCTCCCCCCCCACCCTCGCCGCGACCCCCAACCCTAATCACCCCCCCCCCTCTCACCCCCCCTGCACACCCCCTCCCCCGGACCCTTGCCCCCACCCCCCACCCCCCCCCGACCCCCCCATCCACCCCCCTTACCCCCCCACTCCCGACCACCCGCCCCCACCCCACCCCCCCCTCCCACCAACCTCTATCCTTCACCAGTGCACCCCCCCACCCTCCTACAGAGAGCATGGCCCTGTGCAACCCACCCCAGCCCTCCTTCAGAAGTGAAGGCACTGTGCCTAAACCAGAAAAAAAAAAAAAACAACACACAAAAAGTAAAATGAATCATCGAGAACTTACTCCAGAAATGAACATGTGGAAGTTAACATGAGCTAGTGGCGCATCGAGCCTGTGTGCCCCGTTCCTCCCGACGTCCCTCATGGCGACCGAGGAGAAAATGCCGTGCCACCTCCCCAGGCCAACCCCAACCCTCCTTTCAGAGTGCAGGCACTGTGCATCCCACCCCAGCCCTCCTTCAGAGTGCAGGCACTGTGCATCCCACCCCAGCCCTCCTGCAGAGTGCAGGCACTGTGCATCCCACCCCAGCCCTCCTTCAGAGTGCAGGCACTGTGCATCCCACCCCAGCCCTCCTTCAGAGTGCAGGCACTGTGCATCCCTCATGGGAGGCACCTTGATGCCAATAAGAATCTCTTGATCCAAGGAAGTGGATTTATCCTGCCCTTGGATCAAACCAGATTGCCTCCTTCAGCTCTTCCTGCCTTTCCTTGCTTCACAGGGCAGGGGGAGACATTTGTCACAAGAGTGGAGAGTAAAGTAAGACATGAAAATATATCACTTATAAAGCTGACACTCATTTATTAACACTTCTTGTTCTATTTACCAGTGTTGTAGAGAAGCAGTACCACCAGCTGTACCATCAGTGTACCACCAGCAGTAAATAAAAAAAAAAGGGGTTTTTAAACCCTTTTTTAACTAGCTGTACAGCTAGCAGACCATCAGCAGTACCGCCAACAGTACCACCACACATCAGCACTACTACCACAGCAGTATTTAGGCTATTTCATAAACTCTGTGGTTATTACTGGGCCAAATCACTTTCTCAGATCATCCTCAGCAATATATCAGTAATTTAAGAAACTAGGAGTTAAGTATTCCTTGTTTATAGTGCTAGTGATTATTTCCCAACAAGTGAGGGTGACCCACAGAAGAAACCTTGTTGATCCTCACTTACTCTCTAATAACATTGTTTACTATTATTTCTCGCCGTGGCAAAAATCTTTTGATCAATACACTTGTTGTATATGAGCTGGGACATGTTGTGTGCAGCTTGTGCACGTGTCGTGTTGACTAAAGTAAATTACGCACCATTACTTGAAAATCAGTACTGGATAGGCCTCTTATCTATCCCCCTCCTCTCTTCCATAATATCTACTCCATAATATCTACTACTTTCCTCTTTTGCCAGGGCTATTATAAAATATTGGCAGTTTACAGTCCACCTCACAGTGTCCACAAGAAAAGTGCAAAAGTCTTTTTTAAGATGAAAGGTCTTTCAGGATTTGAATTAAATCAGTGTCAGTCTGTTTAATACTTGCCATATCAAATAACACTAGCACTAGCCATATCAGTACAAACAGTGTTAAATAGTTTCTCCTCTAAAACCTATTTTTTCAATAAACCTCATGTATAATATTAACAAATATAATATCGACAAATAAGACTTCATCCAAGTAAAAACCTACATGACCATTTATTGTTAATAGGACAATTTAAATCAAATTTCCATGTTCATATATAAGATATACTGTCATTGGGTGGGGGGGGGGGGGGGGGGGGGGGGTGGGGGGGGGGGGGGGGGGGGGGGGGGGGTGCATAAATTACTTAAAGGAATGCTCCTTTTAAACAAGAAAGTTCATACAAGGGAGAGAGCCTATTCATGTGTTCATCATAACTAAAAGACAGAAATAATTGAGATTTGGTTTTATATAACATTATAGAGGATAAATATATAGAGCTCATGACAGATATTTTTCAGATTCAAACAGATGTAATTCAGGATGGCAACTAAGAGAGGAAGAAAGTTATATCAGTGTTCAGATTGTCTGAAAGACTTTCAACGACATCCAGATCTAGTTAAACATATGGAAATTCATGCATTGGAGAAAAAATATAAGTGTTATGTGTATCTACAAGATTTTGTAAAGGATTCACATCTAGTAAAACATTCAGGTGTTAATAAAGGAGAGAAACAATATTGCTCAGAGGATGCTAGTAAATGCTCAAGTCAGTCAAATATGCTGATACATAGCACACTTCATAAACCACTGAAAAAACAACAACAGAGTTCACAGTGTCGGAAAAATAGTTCTAATAAGAGAAGTCACGATCAGCATATGAGAGTTCATAATTTGAAAAAATTACATCAGTGCTCAAAGGAGGAGGAGCCAGAATGTTCAGATAAGTCCAGTTTTACTACAGACATGAAAGTTCACACAAAAGAGACATCAAATCAGAGTTCAAAGTGTCTAAAAGACTTTTCTAATAAGGAAAGCCTAGCTAAAAATATTACTCAGTGCTCAGAGGAGACAGAATGTTCAGATAAATCAAATTTGGCCACAAACATGAAAGTTTGTAAAACAGAGACATCAAATCAGGGTTTAGAGAGTCTTAAAGGCTTTTCTGCTAAGGAGAGTCCAGGTAAAAACATTACAGTTAATACAGTAGACAAACCATTTAAGTGTTCACAGTGTCCAAAGACTTATTTAGCACATGGATATCTATTACAACATACAAGAGTTCATACAGGAGAGAAACCATTTAAATGCTTATTTTGTCCAAAGAAATTTTCACTTCATCAAACTCGACAACGACATACAAGAATTCATGAAAAGAACGGATCACATTCAGGAAAATCAAATTTGATTCCACATGACCTAGCCCAAACAGAAAAGAACACGTACAAGTGTTCGGAGTGTCCAAAAAGCTTCAGACGATATTCAAATCTAGAAAAACATAACAGATTTCACACAGGAGAGAAACCACATCAATGTTCAGTGTGTCTAAAAAACTTTACTTTAAATCCACACCTGTTTTGTGGTTTTGCTGTGTTAAAACATTTAAGAACTCATATACGTAAGAAGCAAACTCCCAGCTCAGAAAGTACACAAGACTCTTCAAATAATGCAAATTTGACTACAGGTGTTCAAGTTTATACAAAAGAGAACACAGATCAGAGTTCAACATCTAAAATCAATTCTCATAACAAAGAAGGCAGTGGTCAGCAAACTGAAGTTGAAATAAGAGATAAATCATACCAGTATTCAGAGATCATACAAGACTTATCACAACGGACAGAGCCAGTAAAGCATATGACACATCTGTCTCCAGTTGTGCTGGTGAAAAGATTATGTATTAAACAGTAGGGAGTTACATATTAAACAGTGCAGAGTTACATATTAAACAGCAGAGACTTACCTACTAAACAGTGCTGAGCTGTGTATTAAAGTGTGTGCTGTAAATGTTGACATTAAACAACGCATTCAAACATTACTTGACTTGGAAAAGAGGGAAGAGTTAAGATTGTTGCTTGGTCATGCTTACAGAGGATGAATTCTCCACTTCCCTATTGAGTATGTGTGTGTGTGTGTGTGTGTGTGTGTGTGTGTGTGTGTGTGTGTGTGTGTGATGTGTGTGTGTTGTTGTGTGTGTGTGTGTGTGTGTGTGTGTGTGTGTGTGTGTGTGTGGTGTGTTGTGTGTGTGTGTGGTGTGTACTCACCTATTTGTGGTTGCAGGGATTGAGTCATAGCTCCTGGCTCTTCCTCTTCACTGCTGTGCAGATTTCTCCTCTCTTCCTGCTCCATGAGCTTTATCATACCTTGTCTTAAAACTGTATATGGTTCCTGCCTCCACTACGTCAATTGCCAGACTATTCCACTTCCAGACAACTCTATGACTAAAGAAATACTTCCTAACAACAATTTGACTCATCTGAGTCTTCAACTTACAATTGTGACCCCTTTGATTCTGTTTCCCCTCTCTGGAACATCCTGTCTCTGTCTCACCTAATCTAGTCCATGCAGTATCCTTTGAATGTCATTACTATTCTCCCCTGACCCTTCTGTACCTCAGTGTTGTCAGTTGATTTCCCTCATCCTTTCATCGAGGACATTTCCCTGAGTTCGGGAAACTAGCCGTGTTGTAAACCTTTGTACTTTCTCTAACTTCTTGAGCGTGCTTGACCAGGTGTGGGTATCCAAACTGGTGCTGATTCTCCGGAATGGGCCTGATGCACACGCTGACAAAGAGTCTTGAAATGAATTTCTTACTGAGCATTGGAACGCTATTCTCAGGTTTTGCCAGCCGCCCATGTGCTTCAGCAGATATCTGTTGATGTGAACTTTAGGAGATGTGCTTGGTATTATACTCACCCCAAGACTCTTTTCCTTGAGTGAGGTTTGCAGTCTTTGGCCACCTAGCCTATACTCGTCTGCAATCTTCTTTGTCCTTCCCCCGATCTTCTTGACTATGCAATTTGGCGGCTTAAATTTGAGGATCAGTGGTGGACCAGGCTTGCATCCTGTTCAGTCTCTTGTAGCCCTGCCTGAATCGGGGGTTTGGGGGGGGGGGGGGGGGGGGGGGGGGGGGGGGTGTTTTTTTTTTTTTTTTTTGGTTCCCCCCCCCCCATCCGATTTAATTCTCCTCATTAACTTCACATCATCTGCAAGCAATGACACTTGAGTCTATCCCTTCCAATCATGTCATTCACATAAACCAAAAATAGCACTGGTCCTAGGATTGACCTATCCCCTCCATCATGTCCCAGTCACATTACCAAAAATAGCACTGGTCCCCTAGACTGACCCTTGTGGAAACCCCGCTCGTCACGGGTGCCCACTCTGACACCTCGTCCCGTATCATGACTCATTGTTACCTCCATCAGGTATTCTCGATCCATTGCAAGTGCCCTTCCTGAGCTGATGCATGCTGATGCACTAGCTTTTGCACTAATCTCTTATGAAGAACTGTGTCGAAGACCTTCTTGCAGTCCAAGAAAATGCAATCTACCTACCCCTGTCTCTTGTGTCTTGCTTCTGTTGCCTTGTCATAAAGCTCCAGTAGGTTTGTGACACAGGATTTTCCTTCCCTGAATCCATGCTGGTTGTCGTTTATAAGCTTGTTTCATTCTAGGTGCTCTAGCTGGCGATCAGTTGAACTGGTGCTCCCACAAGGTACTAAGTGGTCACCGATTTTTTTCATAGTGCGCACACTGAGTGCACAGACTCATTCTTTCATGTCTTTCCAAATCAGGCCTATTGCACCAAATTTGAAGGAATGAAAAATAAAACATTGATATAAATTCGAAGCACTGCACACGTGCACATATATCTGTGTGTGGACAGTTTAAGGGTTAAAGAGGGCAATTTTCTGTGTGTAATAAGACAAAAAAAAATTTTTTTAGGGTTAGTACTTGCCAAGATACAAGGCCACGAAGTTGGCTCTGGATGCTCACCTGACGGCAACATGGAGTCCTGTCACTTGCAGAAGTGTTGCCGATATACCTTTTTGGGCAGTTGCTATCTACCAACCTACTACCTACAATATATATATATATATATACAGTGGACCCCTGGTATACGATGGCATCGGTATACGTTAAATCCGGTATACGATACATTTTAATGCAAAAATTTTGCCTCGCCACTCGTTAAAAAACCCGCCACGCACAATTTGTCCGGGACGCATCCATGTGAGGACTGAACTGCCCCATGCGTGCCAGTGTTTACAAGCCAGCCAGTGTGCTCGCATCTAAGCATACATTCGGTACATTCCATATTATCACAGTGTTTTTGGTGCTTGTTTCTGCAAAATAAGTCACCATGGGCCCCAAGAAAGCTTCTAGTGCCAACCCTGTGGTAAAAAGGGTGAGAATTAGTATGGAAATTAAGAAAGATTTTGAAGGGTTTGGTGCTAACCCTGAGAAGCCTATGCCAGTTGTGGAATCCATTGTGTCTACTTCAAAAATTAAGGAAATGTATGCAAAGTGGGTTGAACTGTAAACCTTTATGGATGAAAATCACCCTAACACAGCTATTGCAAGCCGTGCTGGTGACTATTACAATGACAATGTTGTGGCCCATTTTAGACAAATCTTAAAGGAACGGGAGGTACAGAGCTCTATGGACAGATTTGTTGTACAACAGAGGTCCAGTGACTCTCAAGCTGGTCCTAGTGGCATTAAAAGAAGAAGGGAAGTAACCCTGGAAAAGGACTTGCTACCTCAAGTCCTAATGGAAGGGGATTCCCCTTCTAACATTAACAACTTTGACACTCTCCCCTCCTCCCATCCCATCAATCATCACCAGATCTTCATTATTTATTTATTTATTTATTTATTAACAATTTGAGCACACATAAAGGTACA